GGGTTTAGTTTTGAGTGTTTAGGGACTTTTAGGTGTCAAAACATTTTTTAGAGTTTAGAATTTTAAAATATAGGCTTTATAAATCTATAATTAGTGACATTTTTGTAAATGGATACCCCTAAGTGATATTCTTGCAAATGTGTAAGTGACATTTTTGCAAACGTGCACACAAAAAGTGACATTTTTGTAATTGCCCCTTTCTTATTTTATTTTATTTTATTTTCTCTAGCAATTTGCTTTTGTATGTTCTTGTGTTTATAGACAAATACCTTGTATTTGAGAACGATTTGTGACTTACTCGAGATCATGTATGTTTTTTAGGTTATAACTATTGAGATCTGTCCATCATGAAGTCGAAGAAGATGGATATTACTTCAAAAGATATTATCAGCACTCTACCAGAAGCTCTGATTTGCCACATTTTGTCATTTCTTCCCATAGAAGATTCTGCTCTCACTTCGGTTCTCTCCAAAAAATGGCGTTATCTATTTGCGTTCAGACAAAATCTTGATTTCGTTTGCTCGGTAAATCTAAATCATTCGATGTGTAACGGAAAAATGGCTCACATAAATTTTGCAAGGAGCTTTTTATGGACTTTTATACATTTTGTGGAAAGAGTATTGCGTTTGCAAGGGAATTCTACTGTAAACAAGTTCTCTCTAAAGTGTGGACATGGTTTTTTTCCGGATGATGTCAAAGGTTGGATATTGAACGTGTTGGAACGCGGTGTATCGGATCTTGATTTACGCGTTAGTCTTCATGAAGGTCGTCTGCCTTCAAAGGTCTTTGTGACCAAGTCACTGATTAAACTAAGAATAGAATCTAAAAATGTTTATGGTATTGATGTGGAAGATGTTTTTCTTCCAAAGCTTAAGATTCTCTATCTTGATAAAGTTATGTTAGGAAAAGCTGATGATTGCCTTGAGAAGCTTACTTCTGGTTGTCATGTTCTTGAGGAGTTAGTTCTGTATGATGTCTACTCTGATATTTGGAACCGCTCTTTGTCTTCCAAAACACTCAAGAGAGTAACGCTATGGTGTGTAGACACTGATAAAAACCCGAATAGTGTTTCTTTCGATACACCGAATCTTGTCTACTTGAAATACTCTGATTATGTTGCGGTGAAGTATCCCCAAGTGAATCTTGATTCGCTTGTTGAAGCTAGTATCGATCTTGTAATGACAAGTGATCAGTCTGCAAATGCAAGCTATGGACATTTGGTTGGTAATGCAACAGATTTTCTCTTGGGACTACGCAATGTTCAGATCCTTAACTTATCTGCCAACACTCTTGAGGTAAATTTTGTGTGTAACATTGTGTAAATGATTTCTTGAGTTAGTGAATGCATATGAATTGATAATTTTTTTTTACTTTGTTTGAGGTTCTTACTTTCTTTTGTGAATCGATACCGGTATTCAAAAACCTGATTCATTAACTATCAAGACCCACCAGAATGCAGGATGGGAATCATTGCCTAATCTACTCATGAACTGTCCAAATCTTGAAACATTCGTCTTCGAGGTACCAACATCTACTAACACAATTTTTCGAACAAAGACTAGTTTTTGAAGTTGTTTCTTCTATGATTCAGGGACTTCACCACAAATATACAATCAAATGTGGAGATGTTGATGGTTGCTTATGCAAATATTCAGGGGAGATTCCTACTTGTTTATCATCAAGTCCAGTGCAAGTTTTAAAGATAGTAAGATTTGGTGAAATTGGTGTAGAGAATCAGATAGAGCTGATCAAGCTCTTCCTGGAGACAATGCCACGCCTTGAAGAATTGACAATATACTATGATACATTGATCAATGATGATCTGGTTAAAGTATGAAACCAACTTAAGGACTTTCCTAGAGTAGCTTCACCAAATTGTGAGATTCAAGTGATCTCTGATAAGCTCAGCTAAACAAAGATTACCTTTTAGACTTGAGTAG